CCAGTCCAAAGCTCATAAGGTGTTTTAGCAACTGCTTTACTTGGTACTCTATTCAGAATGTAAGCTGCTGTCTTAAGTGCTTCTCCCCAGAGTGACTCTGGTAAAGAAGAATGAGCAATCATACTTCTTACCATATCCTTAAGAGTCCTGTTTCGTCTTTCAGCTACACCATTCATGCTAGGTGAACCCGGCATAGTGTACTGTGGGACGATACCGCATTCCTCTAGGTATCTAGCAAATGGTCCTGGACGTTGTTCACCTGAACCATCATATCTACCGTAGTACTCACCACCACGATCAGATCTGACGGTTTTAATTCTTCTGTTGAGTTGATTCTCAACTTCAGCTTTATAGGCTTTGAACATGTCCAGAGACTCAGATTTTTCATGAATAAGATATAGGTGCCCATAACGTGAGTAATCGTCTATGAATGATATAAAATATTGTTGACCATTCCAGGATTCCGTAGGGAATGGCCCACAAATATCCGTATGTATCAATTCTAAGACATCCGAAGATCTGTTGGCACCTAATCTCTTCACTTTGGTCTGTTTTCCCTTGATACATTCAACACATACGTCGAAGTCCGAAAAATCAAGGGAATCCAAAATGCCATCAGACACAAGACGCTCAACTCTACCTTTTGAGATATGACCTAAGCGCTTATGCCATAATGTCGCCGAATTTTCCTTATTTAATTTACGCTTAGTACCACGTGATTCCACATGCAAGGATTCATTGTAAGAAGCAATTGTATCAAGCAAATATAGGTTGTCATAAATACTCAAGTAACCGGTTCCCACAACATTTGAATTAAAAGATAAACTGAATTGACTGTTTCCAAATGAACAAGAATAACCTGATTTGTCCAATACAGAAACAGAAACCAAATTCCGTCTAAAAGACGGTACTACAAAAGTATCTTTTAAATCCAAATAATAACCAGTTCCTAACAACAACCTAAAGTGCCCAATTGCTTCCACATCTACCGATTGTCCGTCGCCCACAAAGATGTGTCTTTCAACATCACTTGGCTTTCGGTAGCTCAGGCAACCCTGCATAGAAACACTTATGTGAGTAGTAGCACCAGAGTCTAACCACCAAGTGTTTCTAGGTACTGAAGCTAAATTAACCTCAGAACAGACCAAAGCAAGGAACGTACCCTTATTATCACGCCAGGCGTGATATTTTGTACAGTCCTTCTTTACATGTCCAGGCTTCTTACAGAAGAAACAACCCTGATTATCCTTATGTTGTTTCTTCTCAACTGGACCCTTAGCAGCTTCCTTATCATTCTTCCTTTTCTTGCCCTTATCCTTAGAGGCATAGGCCAAATGAGCACTTTCTGTCTTATCTTGCTTCAACCTGTCTTCTTCTTGCACACAGTATGAAATGAGCTCATTTAGAGTCCATTTCTCCTTTTGACAGTTATAACTGACCTTAAATTGGTTAAACTGTGCAGGAAGAGACAACAAAACCAGATGCACTAATAACTCGTCACAAAGATCGAGTTTAAGTGCCTTAAGCTTTGAAGCAATATGAGACATTTCCATAATGTACTCCCTGATATTTCCTTTGCCCTTATACTTCATTGAAATCAAGCGAGCTAAAAGCGTGCTTGTTTCTACCTTATCGTTTTTCGCAAAACGCTTCTCAATTTCGGCAAGGAAATCTTTAGCCTTAGTAATCCCTTCGGATTCTATGCCCCTGAAGGCTTCCGGAACGCCGCGCTTAATGATCATAAGACTCATGCGATTTGAACGCTCCCACTTCTCATGCTCCTTCTTTGCATCAGGAGTGCTATCCGCATTGAGAGGTTGGGGTTGTTCAGTTCTTAATGCATAGTCAAGATCCATGCAGCCAAGAACAATTAATATGTTCTCTTTCCAAACCTTGAAGTTTGTCCCATTTAGCATGGGAATTGAGTTGATGTTAGCAGAAATTGTTGCAGCAGATGCATTAGCTGAAATAAAACAAAAATGCTCACATCAATAACCATAATCAATAAAATTCAAATAATGACAATCCCCATCCAAGATACCGGCACAACATTAATATCAAGTCTTTGGACAGTAATATTAACTTGTAAGTGATACCTTGTTGCAATGATCAAACATTGACAATAACTCATGTCAAATAATGAAACTATCTTTGGATCGATTCATTATTCACATGTAAACCTTATAATTGTCACACGCTTATCATCGCAGATGTGTATACAGTCTAAATAAATATTAACCTTCCTTTGGGCCGATTAAATATTTACACGAAAGCATACACACAAACATCTCACATTCCTCATGAACAATCTACACAAGAGAGGTTACTTTGGCAACTTCTTGTTTCAATTAATCAATTGGAGTGAGAGACAACCTTAATACCTTAGTGTCATAATATTTGAATTAAATAATTGATTAAAAACCGAATTAGATTTAAATTTTTTTTTAAATCAACTGAATTTCCAAAACTTAATTGGGGTCTTACAGCTTAATTAGGGCCCATAACTTAATTGAATAAATTAAGTATACCAAAGTGAACCCATGAAAAGCCGAGGCTTAACCATAATGAACACGAAGTTCCCTTAACTTCGAACGCGAGGTTCGACTGTATTGAGTACGAGACTCACTTAAGCACGAACGCGAGGTTCGTCTGAAAATGAAAAAGTTCGTTAAAAAATGAACGCAGAGTTCAACCTGAGTACGAACGCAATGTTCGACCTGAGAACGAACGCAAGGTTCGTTTAAAAAATGAACGCAGAGTTCAACCTGAGTACGAACGCAAAGTTCGTCCCGAGAACGAACGCAAGGTTCGTTTAAAAAAATGAACGCAGAGTTCAACCTGAGTACGAACGCAAAGTTCGTCCTGAGAACGAACGCAAGGTTCGTTTAAAAAAAGAACGCAGAGTTCAACCTGAGTACGAACGCAATGTTCGACCTGAGAACGAACGCAAAGTTCGTTAAAAAATGAACGCAGAGTTCAACCTTAGTACGAACGCAATGTTCGACCTGAGAACGAACGCAAAGTTCGTTAAAGGTAACCACCTCCTCAATTTTCGCCATGAACCCTTAGGGTTTCAAATTGAAACCGCCGCCGAACCAAAAAAATCTTTGATTTTTATTTTCAAAACAGATCCAGAATTGGAAAAAATTAAAGAAAAAATCAAAGAAAAATCCAAAAAATTCCAAAAAACTACTGTTCACCGGCGATTTTTTCAGTTACTGTTCATCCGAAAAAACTTTACTTTTCACCCGAAAAAAAATTTCGTTACTGTTCACCGAACATTACTGTTCATCCGAACCCAAAAATTGAATCTTTAACCAGAGATTTAAGATCAAAAACCCAATAAAACTTAAATCCCTAAGAATTAATCAAGGTGGCTCTGATACCACTTGTTAGATCTACATCATAAAACTTGAGATCTAAAACCATATAGCCATGATTAATTCAAAGAGATTAACAAAAATCTAAAAGAGCGGAAGCTTATACTTGAATCCATTGCTTGATCTTGATTTTGGGTTTTGGATCTTCTAACCTTAGGGTTTTCTCTTTAGCCGAATTTCTCTCTTAGATGGGGGTGAAGAGAATTAGAGAATGTAGTAACCCTAGATTAGGAACCATAACCCCTTATTTATAGATGTTGTACTTTTGTAATTTAGCCCCTCAATAAATCACAATTACAACCTGGTATCTGCACATATAACCCCATGATTATATTTAAATACCCATTAACCCAACTTAATTGATCACTTTAGTGGGTTATCCTGAAAGATAGCAATACACATTGATTAATCATATGTGCCCACAAATAGATTTATTAGATTAAATCCAACAATTTTTATTTGAATCAAGGCCTGTTAATTTATGAATTTGTACCCAACACAGAGACATGAAAGATTAATGCACTATTCCCAGAGTTCCCATGCACGCACCAGCTACTGTACCTACAAACCATTGAATACCTTTGGGTAACATCTCACGCAGTTACCATAAGCTTTTGAGGTTTTTTCTTTTGAATAAAGTACGGAACAGAGGAATGCGAGGCTCGCTAGCTGCAAAGTTCCAAGAGTTCAATTTGTTTGTGTGATGCATCCGCTGCCAACGTTTCGGACACGTACGGGTTGAAAACTGCAAAATGAATTATTGACGTATTGTTGTACGCTGTCCTCATTTATATATCTATCAATCTACAAAGTTTATAAAGATAATACAGAAGATATATAGAGCATGAAATTAATTAAGGATGAGATTGTCCGAAACATATTACGTGCGAACGACTTATCCGAGCTGCCTTAAACGCAATCGACATGGTAGTTTTATGTGTGGGTGGGGGTGGGGTTGGGGGGGGGGGGGGGTCAATGTCAAGTGTTTCCAATAGAAAAGTTTAGGGTCGGATCTTGAAATGTATGATAGATACGCTCCAAGCTGTACGCATGACTTTCATTTCCATCGAACCCTATATATGTATCACTGCTTTCAACTTACTACTCAATTAGGCATATATTGAAGAAATTTTCAAAATCGTCTCAACAGATTTTTTTTTTAAGAAATAGACCCCATTCACTTTTAATTATAGAATTCGACTCACTTTGGGTTAATTACGGTACTAATTAGTCGGGGTTGCCAACCCCGACTAATTAGTACTCTAATTACAAGCGAGGTCAAGGAGCGGGGAAGGTTTGCGATTGCTAATTAGGCTACTAATGAGTCGGGGTTGGCAACCCCGACTAATTAGTACCGTAATTAACTCAAAGTGAGTTGATTTCTATAATTAAAAGTGAATGTGCTCGATTTCTTAATTTTTTTTTCTATTGAGTCGATTTTAAAAATTTCTTCGGCAGATATTTTCTTTGAGAGAAATTAGTTACTCTATTAGAGTGAAAACTTAGGGGGAAAATGTAAAAAAAAAAAAAAGAATCTACGGAAGTTACTATATACTATTCTCTCCCCGCACCAACACTTAACTAACTCCATTAACTACGCTAGCTCCGAAAAATCTCCTATATGTGTTCACCTCAAGGGCCTTGAGAATTAAGTACACAGAACCATCACCAACTTTCTTCAATATGGCTCATCACCTTCACTCGCTACTCCTCCTCGCATCTATCTTGAGCTTGGCTGGCCATGGGAACTCCGACCTGGCGGCGGACCAGGCGGAGTGCACCGACAAGCTCATCGGACTCGCAACGTGCCTCCCGTTCGTCCAAGGCGAGTCGAAGTCGCCGACGCCGGATTGTTGCACGGGGTACAAGCAAGTGACGGCCAAGAGCATCAAGTGCCTTTGCGTTCTGATCAAGGACAGGGACGATCCTTCACTTGGGCTGAATATTAACGTTAGCATGGCCATCTTGATTCCTTCCAAGTGTGGCGTGCCTACCAACGTCTCCACCTGCACGAGTAAGTAGTATATGTACGTACGTATGTTGTTTTTGATGCCTAATCTCATGTACTAAAGGCCCTTATAATTTTATTATTAACACTAATCATTTTCATAAGCATCTAGACCTCATGATGTCCAAGCAGAATTTACTCAGGACGCAGTCACGTGACATCAATGTGTCGCAGAGAGATTCAGAAATCTCTTATTATCTTATGGCGATTCCATGATATTTCAATATATTGCGTGAATGTTTTTTAATGTCCAAACAAAATTATCTCCTCCTAATGTTCGTGCGTCATACAATGATTCCATGATGTTTTAATATATTGCAGAGAGACATCCACGCTCTCTTGTAGTTGTTAACCCTATGCTTAGTGTGATTGTATGAGTACATGTAACAGATGGGGGTAACTCCGGTTCTAACATCCGTGGATCTAAATGCTGATGGCGTGTTTGGCGACTCTCTAGAGCTGGGTTAGGTTTGAATTTGATCCAGTTTTTAGACTGATTTGGTAATTGGTAAAAACAATATCAGAAGTGGCCCAGTTTGACATCTCAACAAGTTCAGTTGTGGACTATGGGATAGTTGATCTACAACTAAACCAGCTCATCCTATGTATAACCAGTTTAAAGATCACATGTGGTCGAATTTCCATGAGTTAGCAAACACAACAAGTAACTATCCTGTTACGGTACAAAGAATATACCTTAGTTGACCGTTCAAAACATTTTATCTATTTTGAGGCATGGGAAAAAAGAAGCAACTTGGAGAAACTTAATTAGGGAGTACATGAAAGTTATCATCAGCCTTACTAGCTAAATTAAGAAAATCTTTGAAAATTAGGGAGTACGTACGTGAATAATTATTTTCTATTATAAAACTCATAAGATATGTTTACGTAATTTTAGTGTCCAAGAATTTAGAAAGTAACTCATGCAACTTGCTAGAATTTCTTACTGAAGGGAAATAGAAAACTTTTACTTCCAACGTCTACTCAAGCAATTTTAATTATGAACACTTCTAATTTTGACTGAGCTAATTAAGTATCTTTGTCCTGTAATCCCTAGGAGATTATATTTTGGTTAATTAAGCTATACAGTTAAATGTTATAGTAATTCCCTATTTTAGATTAATTATTATTTATAATTTTTTAACTGAATACTATTCTGAAAAAAACATACCGAAATCGTGCAGGTCTTCTAAAGCTTCCTCCTGACTCAAAATATGCTAAAGAATTCCAGCAATTTGAGAGCATACTTGAAGGGAAAAGCAAAAATGGTACGAAATACTTGCATATCTCAATCCTTTTTAATTACAAGACGAAATCATGAATTAACTAATTAACCACATCTCAAAAATCTAATTATGCACTAATCTCTTATTTTCCTTGTACAATTAAAGTGAATTCTACAGAACCAGGAAAAGTCGTAGGCAGCACTCCTGCTCCCACGAGTGACGGAAGAAGAGAAAAGTTCTTCGGAGTGGAAATGTTTCCTCTTTTAGTACTTGTGCTGTTCTTGGTCTTTGGAAGTTAGAACCACCAAACTTTTTTTCCTTTTACCCCCTTTTTTTAATTTTAATTTTAAATTCTACCGATTTTTAATATTGGCTACTTGTGCCTTATATTGTGTCTATGACTCTATGACGCTTCATTTCTTGTGTGTGAATTGTAAGTGTATTCATGCATGTACCTCGTAACTCACGAGAGTTGTACTTTTATTGATCCATCAGATTAGTAATAATGCTTCGTGATGTTTGATGAATTTGATATTTCAGATATGGTTCAAGGTGTTGGGGATTCGAAACAATCAATCGAACCCTTACCCTTCCGAACCTTGTGTTGAAAGTAGGAAAGTAGGAATAATACCACAAATAAAGATCTAACATTGCAAAAATAGTAAAGGAGACGAACACACAGATTTAACGAGGTTCGGAAACGTGCCTACGTCCTCGGGAGCCACACCACACAATCTCTTTATTAATTGAAGAAGAATTACAAGCTCTCAAACTAGGGTTTAATCTCTCTGAGATTCTCTCTCTTTCTGCAGTCAAAAAGCTCTCTTTTTTCGTATTGTTACAACCCTAAAACGTTTAAGGTATATATAGAGTCCTGGGGAAAACAGAATTCAAAACAGTTTAGGAAACTGTTTGACTGCGTCGCAGTCGACCGCGACGGTCGACCGCGACGGTCGACCGCGCAGGTCTCAACGTCGACCCGACCACGGTGGTCGACCGTGCCAAACGACAGAAGCTCCTCAGATTCCAGAGAGTTGAGCGGTCGACCCCAAAAACCCGAGACTAAAAAATCCTACAGGGTTGGCGCAGTCGACCGCCGCGGTCGACCGCCTTCAACTTCAGCTCCTCCCAACTCTTGTGCACGTTCGCGGTCGACCGTTGATCTGTCTGCTTGTTTTCTCGTCGTTTTGATTCCAGCTCTTGTCTCGACTTTGGGTGTACACATTAGACTAACACAAGGATCGTTTTATATTTCCTTTTTTTTATGCTAGAAACAGCCAATATGCATGAATTAAAGGCGTCGAGTCGGTATAAATTTGACATTTAAGAGAAATTGATAAACTTCCTAGTTAATGTTCTTACTGGTTATTATGCACTCTGGTGAGGGTTGTTGTTCGCAAAAACTTTGAAGATTAACACCTTTTTTCCAAAGTAAAGAAGGAAAGGGATCTTTTTCGTTTATAAATCCTCAAAATTTTACCATGATTTATTTTTGAACTCACCGCCTTCTAAAATCATTCTTAAACCCAAAATGTACATGACAAATTATTTCAATATGCTGATGTGTAGGTCGCTATAGTTTGTGTGTAAATAGCTATATTTGGGGTCTAAGTTGCTATTTCTAGCATATTACAAGCTATACTTGGCTTGAAGATGCTAAGTTGGATTTAGAATATTTTTTTACGATGAAAAGTGTTCCTAAGGGGGGCTGACAAATTAGGTTCAATCTAAGGACGTGCTTCAAACTACGTTATACACGACCAATTTATTCGATCTACTCCGTTCGTTATGATCTAAATATCTAAAAATATCTATAAAATAAAAATCATGATGCTTCATTAATACTTCCGACGCATCCTTGTCACCGTCTCTTTAGTTTTATTGTCATAAAACTGTTAATTTTACAATCACTTGATGCATGAGTACTATAGTCGAACATGGCTATTTTTTTATCTATATACAACCCAATGAACGGAGTGGATCCAATAAATTGATTGCATATAAACCTAAATTGTCACCTTAGGAACACTTTTGCCTTTTTTTTAAAATGATTTTTTGAGTTAAAAATGATTAAGAAGCAAGTGAATTAAAAAAAAAAAAAATAAAACTTTGGATTTCTAAACAAAAAAGATCCCTAAAGAGAACTTACATCTGAAGTGTGGTTCTAAAAAGAACAATTCCTCATCCCCTCAGACACTGACAGATGGCCCCACTTTCTAACTTCCTGCTTGTGGACCCCACATGTCAGCCTGTCGATATAAACGAGAACAATTAATTGATAATTTCCCCTTAAAAATTATTTAACATAAAATACAAACAAACAAGAAAATAAACGATCAATAAGATTTTCCATTACAACAGAGCAGACACCCAAAGGGCGGTGACCAGACCAAACGCTCCGCCTTCTCCAATGGCGCGCGACCACTTCTCACCTCGATTCCCGTCACCCCCCGTGTAATTCCCGTCACCGGCGGTGAAATTAAGAAACAGCGATCAAAACAGCTGAAAATTTTGGGATTTGATCAATGGCTTCGGCCAAATCGTCGCGATCTAGGGTATCGGCCCCCTCGGGGTTGATATCGTCGGGGATTCATCAGCCGAGCGCGCAGGAAAGCGGGGTCCCGCTCGCCGACAAGCTCAAGATCTTCAAGAGTGACAGATTTGATCCTGATTCGTACGTTCAGTCGAAATGCCAGACTATGAATGAAAAGGTTAGGCTTTGATTATGTGAATCTTGTTATAATGAGGGCGAAATTTGATTGAAGTTTGATATTTATTTGCATTTTGGCCTATGTAGGCGAGTTACTTTCAATTTTAACTTTATTAGGCAAAAATATAAGAAAAGGTTCATTTTTATTTGTACTAGAGTTATAGGTGATACATAGGGTTGTGGAGTATCACAAAGTTTGAAACTTTTAGCCTGAGATGAGTTTTGCTAGTGAAAATAAAATGATGTTTGCCCCCCGGCTGAAATCGTAGAAATGTAGTTAATACTGGGGCACTATAAAAATTTAATTGGAACGTGATGGTTCATGTTTGAGAAGATGAATGGTGTTTCACAATTTCTCAAGAAAAATCGGAACCTGTAAGTTGTAATTATAAGTTAAAGGAAAAATAGAATATTCGTTTGATATCTGGTTTCGGATATTTGCAATTTTGGACATGGTTCAAAAACAAATTGGGCAAAATCTTAACTTCTATTACATAACTAGAAAAGTATAATGCATTGAACCATTTTGGCTAAGTTGGTAAATGAAAGCGATGCGTGTTTTTGGCTTTATACAATGTTTGACACTTCAATATGTGAGATGAATGAATACCTGGTAAATGAACTTCTTACAAATTTTGGCAGAAATTTAAATTATTGTCATGGAAACAGGAGAAAATGAACTTGAAGGATAAATGATATATTTGGCAATCTCTGAGCAATATTTGAAATTTTATGAGTAAGCCAGAAGAAGCACATTGAATTTATTTATAATTGAATGCATGATATAGGAACTAGTTTATGATGGGAATATGTGAAAGCTCAACATCCTAAAATTCTTCTTGTTGTGCATGTTCGTTGGTACAATTAGAAAAAAGAAGTGATTTGGCAAAAAAACTACCAAAATTTTAGGTTATTGTCCACGAAAATTGTAATTTGGCCGAAAGTGACCAAAATTATGGGTTATAGTCCACGAGGAATTATGAATTTGGGAGCTTACATAAATATTTCTATTCGGGAAAACAAGAAGTGACTTAGCGTAGCACGACCAAAATTGTGGGTTATAGTCTACAAGAAATCGTGTTTGACTAAAATTGGCCAAAATTGCGGGTTATAGTCCACGAGAACTCATGAATTTAGGAACTTACATAAATATTTCTATATAGGAAAACAATAAGTGATTGTCCTTGCAATCCACAAGAAATCGTCATATGGCCGAAATGACCAAAATTGTGAGTTATAGTCCACAAGAAATAGTGAATTTGAAGTTTGCATAAATATTTCTATTCGGGAATTCAAGAAGTGATTTGGCCTAAAACGATCAAAATTGTGGGTTATAGTCTACGAGAAATCGTGATTTCGTTGAAAACGATCAAAATTGTGGGTTATAGTCCACGAGAAATTATGAATTTGTTTTGGCCAACAATGACCACAATTGGGGGTAATTGTTTACGAGAAATCATGATTTAGGAAAAAACACCAAAATTGTGTTTTATATAGTCCATGAGAAATCGTGAACTTCAGAGCTCGCATAAATATTTTTATGCAGGAAAGCAAGAAGTGATTTTGCTAAAATCAATCAAAATTGTGGGTTGTAGTCCATGTGAAATCCTAAAATGAGTAGCTCGCATGAATATTTCTTTTTGGCAAAGCAAGATGTGATTTGACAAACAACAAACAAAATGGTGGATTATAGTCTACAATAAATCATGATTTCGCTGAAAATCACCAAAATTGCGGTGATAGTCGACGAAAAATTGTAAAGTTGGGATCTCACATAAAATTTTCTCTTTGGGAAGCAAGAAGTAATTTGGCCTAAAAGACCAAAATTGTGGGGCATAGTCCACAAGAATTGTGATTTGGTCGTAAATGACAAAAAATTTGGGTTATAGTCAACAAAAAACATGATTTGGCTGAAAATGACCAAAATTGTGGGTTAGCCCACAAAAATTGAATTTGGGAGCTCACATAAATATTTCTATGCTGGAAACCACGATGTGATTTGAACTAAAACGATCAAAATTCTGACTAATAGTCCACGAGAAATCATGAATTTAAGAGTTCACATAAATATTTCTATTCGACAAAATAAGAAGTGATATGTCAAAAAACAACTAAAATTATCGATTAGAGTCCGTGAGAAATCGTGTTTTAGTCGAAAACAACCAAAATTTTATGTTGTGGTCCAGGAGAAATTGTGAATTTGAGAGCTCACATTTCTATTTAGTAAAGCAATTAATGATTTGGCCTAACACTACCATAATTGTGGCTTTAATCCACGAGAAATCACAAACTAGCCGTAAACGACCAAAATTGTAGCTAGCTATGAAGCACGGACACGCATAACATGAAGTCGTGTCGTGTCGTGTCCGTGTCGGACACACGTGTCGAACACACGTATCCTATGTATTTTTTAGGATTTGCCTCGTGTCGGCGTGTCGGATGGCCGTGTCAGATCCGTGTCCGTGCTACATAGGTTTTAGGATTTGCCTCGTGTCGGCGTGTCGGATGGCCGTGTCAGATCCGTGTCCGTGCTACATAGGTAGCTAGTACATGAGAAATCGTGAATTTAGAAGCTCGCATAAATATTTATATTCTAAAAAATAAGAAGTTATGTAGCCTAAAATAACCAAAGTTATAGGTTATAGTCCACGAGAAATCATGATTTAGCTAAAAACGATCAAAATTATGGGTGATAGTCCATGAAAAATTGTTAATTTAGTAGCGCATATAAATATTTATATGTGAGAAACTAAGAATTGATTAGGCAAAAAATGACCAAAATTATGGGTTATAGTCTACGAGAAATCATGATTTGGCCAATACTGACCAAAATTGTTCATTATATAGTCCATAGAAAATCATGAAGTTAGGAGATTACAAAATTTCTTTTGGGGGAAATAAGTCATTTGGTCTAAAACGGCCAAATTTTTTTGTGGTAGCCTACAAGAAATTATGATTTGGCCCGAAAATGAAAAAATGCGGTTATATATATAATCCATAAGAAATCATGAATTTGGAAGCTCACAAAAATATTTAATGCGGAAAAAACAAAAAATGATTTGGCAAAAACGCAAAAAAATTGTAAGTTATAGTTCACAAGAAATTGTGAATTTGACTGAAATGACCAAGATTGTGGTTTCCACAAAAAGTCATGAATTTCGGAGCTCGTATAAATATATTTATGCGGCAAAGCAAGATGTGGTTTGCCCAAAAATGATGAAAATTGTGAATTATAGTTCACGGGGAATTGTGAGTTATGGTCGATTCACTTCTTGAGCTCGCATAAATATTTCTTTGTGGGAGCACAAGAAGTGATTTGACAGAGTACAATCAAGATCTTGGGTTACAATCCTTGAGAAATCGTGAATTTGAGCGCTTGCATAAATATTTATATGCGAGAAAACAAGAAGTGATTTGGTCTAAATGATTAAAATTATGGTTTATTTGTCCACGAGAAATCGTAACTCTTGGAGGTCGCTTAAATATTTCTATGTGAAAACAAGAAGTGATGTTGCTAAAAACGGACCAAAATTTTAGGTTATAATTCACGGGAAATCGTGATTTGGTAGCTTATATAAATATTTCTATTCATGCAAAGAGGAAGTAATTTGGCTAAAAGCGACTTGACAAAAAGAAATCGTGAATTTTGGAGTTCACATAAATATTTCTATTTGACGAAGCAAGAAGTGATTTGGCAAAAAACAACCAAAATTGTCCCCTACAAATTATGATTTGGCCTAAAATAACCGAAATTGTAGGGTATTGTTCTTGAGAAATAGTGAATTTGGGAGCTCGCATAAATATTCGATGCGGGAAATCAAAATTGTTGGTTATATTCCATGAGAAATCGTGAATTTAGGAGCTCGCATAAATATTTCCATTTGAGAAAATAAAAAGTGATTTAGCCTAATGCGACCAAACTTATGGGTTATAGTCCGCAAGAAATCATGATTTGACCGAAAATGACCAACACTGTGGGCTATTGTCTGTGACAGATTGGAATTAGGGAGTTTGCATAAATATTTCTATTTGGGAAAGGAAGACGTGATTTGGCCTAGATGACTAAAATTGAGGGGTTATAATCCATGAGAAATTGTGATTGCTGAAAACGACCAAAATTTTGGATTATAGTCCATGAGAAATTGTGAATTTGAGAGATCGCATAAATATTTCTATGCGGGAAGCCAAGAAACTATTTGCTTAAAATGATGAAAATTGTGGATTATAGTCCATGAGAAATCGTGATTTGGCCAAAAATGACCTTGTGTTATAGTCTATGAGAAATTATTAATTTGGGAGCTCAACATAGTACTTATATGATGTAAAGTAAGAAATTATTTGGCTAAAAACAACAAGAAATGTGGGTTGACTGAAAACGACCAAATTATGGGTTATAATTCACGAGAGATTTTGAATTTCAGAGCTCACATAGATATTTCTACTAGTGTTAAACCCGCGCCATGCTACGGGGTAGTTTTCTATGATATTTATAATATTATGTACTTGGTTAAATTTTATTAATTTACTTTCCTAGATGATTATAGACTGGATGTCCCAACTTGAAAACAAAATAATCAATCACAACAATAGAGACTTAAATGTCCAATTTACCATGCCTAAACCCTAATGCTAAACAAAGAATAAAGAAATACTATCTTGACCTAAATTAAACAGTAGCAATTATTTTTAATTCATTGTACATTATGTCATGTTAAATCTTACATGTATAGTATCAATAAAATTTGATAAGGAATAACAATCAAATTTGATAATATAACTCAAAGCAACAATCAATCAATCTTTACTACATTCACTTTCCCAACTCTAACCATGAAACAACATATATAATAAGTGGAGAATCAAAATAGAAACCTAAACAATTACCATATTTTCCATACCAATATAATAAGTAAAGAACCAAAAGTCACATCTTTATCATCTTGTTAAATACTTCTTATTAGTTTCTAATCAGATTTTCTATATATTGATTTCTTTTAGAAA